AATAGATAGGTGGAGAAAGTCTTCTACAGACCATTGAGTTGAGAAGTCTCCACGCAGTGTGGGATCTCATCTCCTTTTCTAATAGTCATGGGCAGCCCCTTCTATTCAGGGGTCATCCTATATACTCTCAGACTTACAACATGTCTGATTTACAGACACAATATGTTTCAGAAATTCATTTTACAGACACATGGGTTTTAGGCATCCATTTGCACCTACACAAGGGTGTTTTTCCATTTTCTACCTGTTCATTTCAAAGTAGAGCCGTACAACATGACAGAGAACCCACCCATTGTGTGGAAAGTAATTTCAAGAAGAAATGCATTCCTTTTTAATGCAGTTAGTAAACCATGACTTAGAGTAAATCTGGTCTGCTACTTGTTTTTATAAATTAAATCTTATTGACACCGTTTCATTTATAACACATGGTCAGCATGTGCTCCCATGGGGCAGTGCTACTAAACTTCGCAAAGGACACTTTGTGGCTTGCAGATGTTATTTGACCCTTTACAGGGAAGACTTGCTGAGCCACAGGTAACCCGGCCTTGGGACCCCTCCCTTTCTCAGCGGGGATGGTGAGCCTACAGCAGGAGCAGAGTCCCAGGCTTAGGAGGAAACTCTGGAATTCTGGCTCAGCTGAGCCTCTATAGGAGGTTTCAGGAAATTGCAAAGCAACACAAGGTGTTACATTGTGTTTGCTTCTCAGTAATCTCCCTGTTTCATCTCTGGATCCATAGGTACAGAACACAAGCTCAGCAGGAAGTAGGGCTATTTGTTCTGGGCACGGCTGGAGCCTCATTTACTGAACAAATGAAAAGAAATGTAATTTAGTTTGTGACGCAGGGACTATGTGTGCTTTATCTGAAGGCAAACATGGAGCAGATTAAAGGGCCGCAGAGACACTTTGTGAATATTGTGGTCAAGGCCCTGGTTTGTGTTGTCTTTTGGGCAGCTGAGCCGTTCAAAGAGCAAACACAGCCTTCCCAGCCATCCTGGGAGTTTTCTCCTTCGCTCCTAACAGCTTCACTTACAGAGGATTCTGCTTGCCAAGATTCTAGAATCAACAATTTAAATATGAAAAAAAATCCATCTAATTATCTGACGAATTGTAACACAGTGGGTAGAGCTGTCGGTGCTCATTTAATTTCGATTTTTTAAAATTAGAATGAGTGAGTTTTGATGTCTTAGGGAAGGTTAGGAAACCACAGCTTGTTAATTCCTTCTAGAACACAGAGATGACTGGGCGTGATGGGGCACAGCTCCAATCCCAACACCAGGGAGGCAGAGGTAGGAGGCATATTTTGAACTTAAGAGCAATATGAGTTATATAGACAGGCTTTTCCCCCAGCTCAAAAATCCAAAACCACTACCACAAAAAAGGAATCAGACACGGACAGAATAATTACCAGACAAGCATGTCCAGGCCATGCTGCAGGCCAGGACAGCTATGAATGAGACTCAAGGTATTGTAGATTCAGTGCTATGTCAAAAGGTTAGATGCCCATTGCACTAGATACTGGGAGAGGTCCCTGAGATACACAGGTTTCAGAAAGGAGTAACAATCGCTTTGGGCTTCGGCCAGTGACAACTCAGCATTGAACTTGTCTGCAGCCCAAGCGTGCAAAAGTGGGAAGAATGCATGGGCGAGGGACAGGTTGCTGCCCGCTCTTATGAGCTGAGAGGTACTGAGGGGTGCCATCAGCAATCGGTCTAGAAATGGGAGAAAGAAAATAATGGGGGGCGGCGGCTAAAAGAAGCTCCCAAAGTTTATCCGGATGCTAACTTACATGCTGTTTGGAAAGGCTGGCCACCCTACTGTGGTGATATCTTGCTTGTACAAATAAAGCCTGTCTGAGGGTCAGAGAATGGAGCTTGCTACACTATAGCTAACCATAGAGGTCTGGAGGTCTGTACAGACAGAGAGGAAGTGAGATGGCTGGGCAGAAACAGGATATAAGCAGGGAGAAACAGGAAATTGCTTTCTTGTCTGCTGAGATGCTAAGAAGCTAAGGTGTGGCGGTGGCTTGCTCATTCTCTCTGATCTCTCAGCATTTTCCTCCATATCTGACTCCGGGTTTTTATTACTTAGACCAATTAAGAACTCCATGTACATTTTGGCACCCAACATGGGGCACAGATCCACGACCCTGGGATTAACAATCCCATGTTCTACCAACACAGCTAGTGGGCCTCAAATGCGAGTCCTGTTCTTTCTGCCCTAGTGCATGCCTTGCCAACCCTGGGCACCGAGGGGAGGATCACAGCTCTCACACGCATAGTAGACCTGAACAGAAGAACCACTGCAGGACTGTGTGCCTGCCTAAGGTCAGACCATATGATTCCATTTAAACACGGCATAGAAGCTGCCATGAAAGCCTATTTCCTTATGACTCCCCCAGCTACAGGCTTCTGCCTAGTCTCCTGCTGTAATGTTGGCAAAATGCTCAGGAAGTGAGCAGATACCATCCGAGGAAGATCTGGGAAATAAAGCCAGAAGGTGTACAAAGGAATTAAAGCCGGGAGATGTACAAAGTTCATGTAGGTGTTCTGTCTAAGCATGGGGCTGAGATTGCTGGTACCCGCCATCTCCAACCATTCCAGGCTGTACAGCCTTGGGCTAGTGCTCTACAGTCGGGCCCCGTTCTCCCAGCAGGGAGACAGTCTCTAGGAGAAATGCTTCCCCTTTGGCCTCAAGTCTTCCAGTCTACCATGTTTACTTAGCTATTTAGCTTGGAACTGCTGACCTTTATAACAGGACCTGTTGCTCAGAGAAACAGGAAGTTAACTCACTGGAAAGCCATGGAAATGAAGCACCAAAGTGGGTCAATATTTTTCTATCAATGAGGTGGTTCCAGATTAGAATGAGTTCAAGAGACACACCCGTGATGCCTCAACAGCTCCTCTCTCAAAATGTGTCCTGTGCTCATGGATCTAAACAGTGACTATGAATGACAAACTTGGGGTGTGAGTGTCAGTAAAGCATGAGATAGGCACTCAGTGTCCTGAAACTCCTTACATAAGGATCCATCCATCACAGGGGTGGGTGGCATAGGGAAGTGTGTGTAGGAGGTCTTTTTGGGAGGGTGGTATAGCACTGTGTCCTAACTAGGGCCGGGGTCGAGGCAGATAATGAAGTATGTGAAGGAAAAGAGAAGGGTAAAGGTAGGGAGGGTTGTGCCCAGTAAGTGTTGTCTCTCGAATTTGCATTTGACTTCCTTAAAGATCATAAGAATCTCATTCTTTCAGTTTTTAATACATGTTTCCTGTTGTTTATTTTCTCTCATGTAGCATTTAAATATTTATGTATATGTGTGCCTATCTATTTGTGTACCTATTAACGTACCACTTGGAGAAGTTACAGGTGGTTGTGAGCTGCCTGACATGGGTGTGGGGAACCGAACTCTGGTCTTTTGGATGAATAGCAAGTACTCTTAGCCGCTGAGCCACTGGCCCAGCCCTGTCTCCTGTTGTTTTTGACAGTAGAGACTGGAGGCTGGTTGTCACCAGGTAACTCTCGCCTGAGTTGAAAGCAATATATGCATGCTTGACCTACACAGTTCTAATTGATTGCCAACATTAAAACAAACCACAACAACATCATATAAGCGGGTGGGACTTTTGAGTGCTCTTGAGGAACTGGGGACATGACAGCGTGGGCTTCCATGTATGCTGACCAATGCCACATGGACCCGAGAAACAGAGACTGTCACTTTTTTATCTTTGTGGTAACAGCGATAGATCCCAAGGCTTTGAGAATGCTAGGCAGGTGCTCTACTACTGAGCAGTGTTCCCAGCCTGGCTGCCACCTTAAATAGGTTCAAACTCACCGGCTCACCCATGCCCACTGCTCCTTACTGCGTCACCCACCTGCACCCCTGCTGATAAGTATCATTAATTTAAACTATTCATGACTCATTTCAATCATTTATGTTCCAGAAGTTACACTGCCTGCCAGCCTGACCTTCACTATTATCACAGACATCTACTTTTACCAAATACCATCAGCTCCATGATGAAGGAATTTAAACAATTTTCTGTTTCACATCCTTTGGAATTCACTCCATCTAACCTACACCTCCATTTGGCAACAGCCTAAGGCTGAGTACCATCAGCATCCATTAATCTCAATGTTTTAGTAAAAAAAAAAAAAAAATCTTACTGTCCATACACTTGTGTGTGTCTCTCTCTACGTAGCTTTAGTAATTCTTGGGATTTCCAGGGAATACCACGTAGTCTGCATAGAAAGATTACGAGTTATACAGACCATGGAGACTACTAAATAAGCTGATCAAATGGTCAAATGCAAGGTACAAGGGAAAGAGAAATCATCAGAGATGGGGGCGGGGATTTAAAGAGAAAATTGCTTTTGTGAGCTGTGATGGATGGAAAGTGATCGAGAGAAAGGGGAGGGGAGCAGAGAAAGGAAGGGGGGAGAGGGCAAAGGAAACTGAGACAGAAGGCAGACACAAACCCACTCAGAATGACAGCAGGAGGCTGCTTGGTTAAACGAAGTCTGGAGAAAAAAATAAAAAAGGATTCTAGACAGGAATGTCTGCTGGAGCTCATCCCACAGAAGAAAATCAGGACAATTTTCTTCCTATAGGAAAAAAAAATGTTTTCCAGATACTGGAATGGTAGCTAATTATAGACAAATTGCTCCCTAGGAAGTCCCTCTTGGAGGCACACAGCCCTTCTCTGTGAGAGGAGAGTCCGCTCATAACCTTGCCATCTCCGGGTGTTGTCTAGACCGTTTTCTTATGTGGAAATCAACTGTGCTATCTCCTATCTTTGGTGTCCAGAGGATGTGAGACACAGAATGCCAACAGCTGGCAAGTGAAAGCCATTACATGTAACATTTATGTTGTTAAATAAGCAAGTATTAGCATGAGAAGTACTCTGGGCTTCCCAGTGGTGTGACAAGAAGCCAGCCTCCCTGAACACGTGCTTTGTAACATGGAGGCAGGATGGTGTCCTACCCATGGCGTCACGGGAATCCTCACCTCAAACTTCTGCCTGAGTTCCACATTGCCTTCTTCATCGCCTTCTGGGATGGGCACATTGTAGTATTCACCCTCTTCTTGGTTGAGCAATTTGTACCTTCAAAGACAGGGGGAGAAGAAAGGGTAAGGGCCAGTCAGTGGCTCGTCTCCCTCAGCCTCTAGTCAGGCTGTTGGAGAGGTGCCCGTACAGGGACCACAGCCAGGGCCCACAGAGGATGAATGGGGGGCTCTCATCAGCCTCTTCCTGGCTTCTGTCAGCTGCATGGGGTTTGGAGACATGCTGGGTCCCAGGAACTTCCTTACCATCCGCTGGCTGGCATCTTCATCAGCTCTGAGACCCCAAAGGAAAGGGAACCCATGAAGTCATTCCGCGTCGTTCGGTCCCAGTCCCAGATTTCCACAGACAGCCGTCGGTCTTTGTCTGAAGGTTTTAATTTGCTACAAAGACAAACACATACACAATACATTTAGTCATCTCCATCATGGCATCTTGGGAGACACCAACATGCCCACAGTCTGTATCTGAAATAAACAGTATCTTCAGTTTCCTTCCTGTATCAACAGGATATCAATCCTTCATACTAACTAGCTATAAAAGCTCTGTTGAGACCAAGAATCAGTGAATACCAACCCTGGGCAACTCATTGCTTATATAAAAAATTTTCATTAGAACACAGCTTTAAATAATTTATTTACATTGGGCATGTACAAATAAAGTTTTATTAGAACACGGTCTTAGCTATTTGTTTATATATTATCTGTGGCTGCTTTGTCCACAAAGCCTGTATGATCCACGATGTCTGGAATACAGACTGCTTGCCCTTTACAGAGCAGAGGAAGCAATTCCTGAGTATGTCCCCATGGGGACCTGCTGTGCTCCCTGCTGTGGGTGCTCCCTCACTACTGATTCTTTACTCTCATAATTCCTCCCCTTCCTTCATCTCTGTTTTGGGATTTCTGTCAATCCTGCAAGACCCAGCTCAAATGTCACCTTCTTCAGGAATTTTTCCCTGCTTAGAACTGAGACTGTCTTCCTTATTTCAGTAGCAATAGAACTTCCTACACCGTGTGTTCACTGTTCTCTGCCGCAAAAGTTATTAACTTCTTGCTCCTCGCTCTCTCCTAGCTGTCAAAGTAACTGAGTCCATCAAGAGATGGAGAACATCTTATGTTTTTATGACACCTCAATCAGCTGTTTTTCTTTTGTTACAGAGCAGGAACTGATAAAAATTGCAATTTGTTTTACACAAATCCTGGTAAGCCAAGTCACTATGCATTAAACAGAAGCAATGGCAGCGATCACCTAACAGTAGTCTGTGAAGGTCATAGGAATGAAGACATAGAGATGCAGCCCCCTTCCATGTCTTTAATAATGGGGCTGGCAGTATGTGGCACATGGGGCCGAGTTCATTGCATGGCAAGAAGGAGCACTTACAATGTGAAGGACTCATTCCACTGAGGGTTTAGAGTGGAGCGGATGGTTTTGGTTTTCTGTTTGCTTTCATTCTTGGGATCAGGAATAAGTTTCAGCTTCACATAAGGATCTGAAAGCCCGTTTGGATCCATAGGGATTAGATTTTTTGCATCTCGTACTGCAAAGAGAAAAAGAAAAAAATATTATATGTAAAAAAAAAGAACACTGGCTTGCATAAACCAACATTGGCATGGACACCATGCTGAATCAGAGCTGTCAAGATGGTGTTTGTAGCCAGATGAAGCAGAGCATGCCTGAGGTCCCAGTCCTTGGAAGGTGGAGGTACAAGATCACTTTTGGCTACATAACAAGTTTAAGGCCAGCCTGGGCTACATGAGACCCCATTTTAAACCTTCTCCTACAATGAAGACGCTGTTTCAGAGAGAGAGAGATTAGTTGGAAGCTCTGTCATGCAATATGAGGTTGTCTACTACCTTCACTGATAGCCAGTGGCTGCTGAGTCCATTTACTATTGCTAGTATATGTGTATTTAGGGCTGAACACTAGGACTAGAAAAGCTATTGTGGGGCTCTTCACTGGAGAACACCGATTCTCTGCCTCCTAGAAGCTATAACTGCCTGAAGCTCTTCATCTAGGGGTGGAGCCTCGTGAGATTTTACCCACCCACAGCAGAATAGCAACTGGTGTCATCATGCAGGTCTTGCTTAGGCAGCCATGCTGTTAAAGTTTCATGGGTGCATCTCCCTCTCGTCTATAGAAGACTGTCTCTCAGCACACAGCCTGTGTTCAGGGTTATCATTCAGCCCCCCTTCCTCAATGTTTCCTGAGACATAAACAGTATTTAAGAGGTGTCTCTACAGCCCATTTTAAAAATTTGCATAAAGTTAATAGAGTTAGAGTTCTTCCAGGACTCAGCCACTTGAGGATCCGTGTGAGAATCCAAGGTTTAACTAATGCAGCACTGGTGGTCCAAACTTCAGCATCACGAGAGATAAAAGATGGGAGGTAAACACGGAACTCTTGTGCCGGCAATGGGAAGGGGCCATAGGTCCTCCTCATCCGACTCTAGAGGGAGAATCTGAAAGTGCTTAGTAGGTCTGACACTGGCTGCAAGAAGATCATAGCCCAGAAGTGGATGAAGAATCTCATCAGGGTCACCAAGGGTTCCAGGTTTGCCTCCTGCCACTTGTGGAATGACTGTGGCACTGGCTTTTACATTTTCTATTCACCGCCTGGCAGGCAGTGAATGGGCCCACTTCAGGGCGATCTTTTCGGAATGGTGATGAGCTAGGATCTTGATGGAATTTAAAGCCTCTGGTTTCCTGCTGAGATATTATCATCTAGGCTGAAAATAAAGTTCTCAACTCCAAATGTCACTGAAGCAGACAGTGAGTCCAAATTTCAATTTCTGATTGCAGTGGGAAAATGGCATCCTGTTCCTCACCACAGGCAGGACATATGACCTGGGCCCAACTTGGGGGTCCATCTGCTCAAAATTCTGGATGCCCATGTATGCATGCTGGTTCAGCCCACTTCTGGTTAGGGGTGAGATACTTAAACTCATTTGGTGGGTTGGTGTCCAGGCGGCTTGCCAGGTCAGTTTTCAGTGAAGCCAGTCGGAAGGTCTGATGCCCACTGGCGGGTGTCTTCACTGTGTGACCCCCAGTAGCACCCCTGGCTCCGAGTCGCATGCAGACTCGGACCATTGACCATTTTATTTTTCTTTAAATTTGGTCAAAGTATAGGAAAAAACAAAACAAAACAAACAAACAAACAAATACCCCCCCCCCCAGATTGTTGGCTTTAAACAGTTAGTTCCCATGAAATTGAATGAAATGAAGATCTGTGTTGTGTGTTTCTAGCTAGACATAAGGCAGGGGCCTGCTTTCTCCTGGCTAAAAGAGGAAATTAAGTGTTAGCATGCTGTCCCTCTCTGCATTACATAGGAGAATGAAAGGAAATGGAGATGGACTAGCTTCCTCATCATGAAAATTTATACTTTTAATGTCATTCAGAACCTTAAGAAACCATCTCATGTGCTCCCAACAGTCCATGTTCCCAGTGGTCCCTCCCCAGGCAGAGAACATAGTGGGAAGGATTGACACTTTGTACTTGTTAGGGATGTGGACTATTCCACAGCCCAAGAGTGCCAGGTCAGTCTCAGCAGACCCCATGGTTCCTTTCTCGTCTTTACTCTCTGAGAACTAGATTGTTCTGATCCACAGAATTAAGATGGAAAAGTATATCATGTTACTGTGATGAATCAATTATAGAGAATGAAATTTCTTGTTTTTTCTTTATGTTATTGTTGTGTGCTAGGATTAAAGGGGTGTGCCACCACCTGGCTCAATTTAAGAAAGTCTGTCATGGGAGCTGTGGAGATGGCTCAGTCAGTAAAATGCTTGCCATGCAAGCACAAAGGCCAGAGTTCGATCCACAGCCCCCATGGAAAAGCGGCAGTTCCAACAGCAGGCAGCTCACAGCCATCTATAATTCCAGCTCCAGGGTGATCTGACCTCTCTGACCTCCATGGGAACCTGCACTCACATGCATATACCATATAAAGACACATAGACACAATTAAAAAATTAATTAATTAAAAAATAAGGTTAATAGTGATTGAAGAAGACACCCAGAATTGACCTCTGACCTCCATGTGCTTAAGAAACCCTCCACCCAAATCCTGCCATGTTGACTCAGTTCCCAAAGGTAGTTCCTCATGCCTACAGTAGAGATGTACCTCTCCCCTGTACATACTATGCAGAATTGCTAGTTGCACTCCTTGGGGTCTGCAGAAATGGGCCTAAAGCTCTGTTGAAGAAGCCTGTAACAAAACCTGTCTCCTCGAAGCTCATTGACAGTTCTACAGCCACGAAGAGCAGGAGACACTTGTTGAAGAAACACATCTGTGATGTGGCATTGGCCATTTCAGAATGGAAAGTCTATTCTGTCATTCCAGGACTTTGGTAGAAATGTAAACTATTAATTATATTCCTCCTTCTTGCCTTGAGGTGGCTGCTCTGAAATTATAGGCTGCCAAGCCCAACATTGAAAAAATCCAGCATGGGTGAAAGGTTATATCATTTCTGGATAATGGAAGCTATAATTTCCAGATAAGGCATACTCAAATAAATTTATGAAGACCTAGAAGCACCCGTGTGAACTACCCGCTCCAGGTGGCTTGGTGAGCTGAGGACATGCATGTTTTACCTAAATGTTTAGGAGTGAGGAGAGACCTAGGCAGGCAGGCAGTCTCATCAGATAGGAGGACTGGGCAACCTTGTGAGATGGTGATCAGAGCCTTGGTTGTCCATGATGGTTAATGTTAATCTTTGAGTTGACAGTATCTAAAATCACCTGAGAGATGGGCTTCTGGGCATGCCTGTGCTATTATCTTAGTTGTGTTAATTAAGATGGGAAGAGCTGCTCACTGTGGGTGTCACATTCTCCAGCTGGGATTCTGAACTATGCAATGAAGAATGGGAACCGGGAACCTGGTTCAGTTCTTGTTGCCTTGACTTCATACCATGATGGATTATCCCTTGTTATCCTTTGAACTGTGAGCTGAAATACCCCCTCCCACACACACACTTGAGTGGCTTTTGTCAGAATATTTTATCATAGTAACAAGAAAAGAAACCAAGACAGTGCCCCACAGGAATGAATGGAGCAACAGCCTTAGCCACAAGGCAATGATTTTGCCTAAGTCCTGATGGACAAGGGCAGGAGAGGCAAGGACGCAGGCAGGCAGGCAGGCAGGCAGGCAGGCAGGCAGGCAGGCAGGCAGGCAGGCAGGCAGGCAGGGGGACATCACCAGGCTGTCTCTGGTTTAAACAAGTTGTTTCCCCAGAGACCTGAGTCAGATGAGGGTTTAATGAACATCCCAGAATGTTTAGGGAACAACTAGACAGGGGCTGCTTAAATGGATGCTGTAGGTGTGTCTGACGTCCAATGGGCACTGTGACAAGTCCTGATGCTGGGGTCAAATATTTGCCTGCAACCATTAGCTCTTTTGGCTTTAGGAAAATATTTCAATCTTTCAGTCAGTTTTTTGGTAAAGTTGGGACAGTAATGTTGCCCATCACTCAGAGTGGCTGTGGAAATTAAGTGTATCAATGCATGTAAAAATGTTTCAAAGAGTATCTGGACTGATGACAGTGTTACACATTGTCATGATGCTACCATCACTAACAGGAGTGTTATTATTAAGTCAGTATCTGCATCATTGTCACCACTGTTATTGCTGCCACCATCATCGCCAGGCCTCTTGTGTGGCCCAGGAGGCCAGGCTGTTTCCTCAGGGTGAAGAAAGTATATCGGAGTGAGGACCTGAGATTGGGTCCTCCAGAACCCATGTGAGAAAAAGGAAAAACCTAGGTGTGGTGAGGCATGCTGTAACCCGGTGCTGAGGAGGTGGAGACAGGAGGGCACCTAGGTCTTGCTGACCAGCCAGCCTAGCCTATTCAGTGAGTCTCAGGCCAATGAGAGGCCCTGTCTCTAAAGGGAGGTAGATGAAACCTCTGAAATGGTACCCACAGTTGACCTCTAGCCTGTATCACACACATGTACACACATGCATAGGTATACATATCAACTCCCCCCCCCTCACCTAAGTGTAGTAAAGAGACACACACAGAATCCTGGAATTTCCAGACCACAGGGTAAGGCTGCAATAGTCAGCTCCCAAGTGTTTCAAAATAGTGCAGGATTAAAAAAAAAAAAAATCAACCTGTTCTTAATCCCTCAGAGACTCTTCCAGATGGCTCCTCAGTTCAGAGACTGTGTAGTACGGGCTATGATAAAATGATAAAACTAGCATCTGTGAATATCAGCTAGTACAAGAGGTTAGTTTCCGGCCAATGCCACAGAAAGCACCCACCATGATCCCCCATTCTACTTCCTGTGTCCCTGGTGGATTTAAACTTACTCTGAGGTTGCCACGGGACCCTGTGCTGGGGAGCAGGAGCTTTCAGAGGCTCCAGCAGACCCATCCACAGGCACAGGAATGAGAGGCTCTGAGAAGCACACAGCTGCATTCTCTTGCCTGTAGCCTGGATGTGTCAGCACTGACCGGCAGTAACCCTGCCCATTTGGGGTTCACAGCTACAGAGGGACATTGTTCGGCTGTGTACAGAAATCATCTCCCTCCAAGTTCAG